ACTGCAGTTGTCTAATATTCTCCAGATGAGTCAAGTTCAGCCTTGGCTACATCGAGAGTAGAACCTATGACTCTGAAAGATCAGTGTGTTAATTGCCCACATCAATAGTCATAGAAGTTCTAGGTGGGTCCTTGGTTGACAACCTGCAGATTGCAGCAAAGTCAAGATACTCTGTGTGCATCTACATGTGAAATTAACGGCAGCAAAAAAATACAACACATATTGCTCTGGAGTTTATTGCTCCTAGGAACCACATTTACACATGCACCTGGGACTCCAGCATGTTGAGCTGGGTTGTAGCAGCCCCAGTGGGCAGGGAACCCAGGGGATCAGCCTGCCAACCTGGGGATGCTCAACCCCATCTCAATATGCAGTCGAGGGACTGGCTAGGATATACATGTGGACCTTTGTGTACCAGCCAGCCCCAGCAGTATCTACACATGCATTGATGAGAAGTAAAACATTCTGCCATAGGACAGTACGAGTATTAACAAGTACTAACCTATGGCAGAGTGAATGTGTTTACTACATCCTAATAGCACTGCATGTATAGATGCTGAGACATTTACTGTGGAGCTAATTAGGCAACTGCAGCAAACATCTCCTGTTGACACACCCTCTGCATACAATATTCTCTTGTGCCTGTTTGCTAGTTTAAGGTAACATGTTGCTCAGATAACAGTGATATCTGAGTACATGACAAATTTAAACTTGCTGTCAATTTGACGTCCATTTAAAGTAATTCTGCATTTTTCTCTATAATTAATGCTTAATTATTTTCTGCTAACTGTTTTGTTTTACAATCCAGATTCAGTTTCAAATATAGCTTTATTTCTACAGTGATAAAGTGTCTGCCAATAACAGCTCCAGAACATGGAAGAATTGTCATGTCTGGTTCATATGAGACGGACCAAGAATTTTCCTTCGGACAAGCCATACGATTTGAATGTAATGAAGACTATAAACTTAAGGGAGACAGAGAAATATATTGCTCAGCTACTGGTGATTGGAGTCAGGAGGTACCACAATGTATAGGTGAGAAAATAAATGCTTTTTACTTTGCTAATGTTTGTCTTTAGCATGTGTGATTTTGAAAGTACTGTTACAACTTCCGGACCATATCTGAACAGTAAACATTGTGAGATAATGTGTCTTTGGCAGATTTACTGTGCTCCAACATAGTATCCTAAGGCATACTGTGCTTTTCCAGGCAGGCTGCACCTGAAATTAGAAGCAGCAGTTGTGGCCATACAGTGCTTAAACTGGGCTTCCAGTAGTTATCACTGATGAGTTACCTTACCTGTTTTCCCAAGAAAAACAGTTTCCTAAGAAGCCCAACCATGGCAACAATATCAATCTTAGGAGATACTACAGCAATAAATCGTAGAGTTTATCGCTCTTCAGTTTATTGCTCCTGCGAAGCTTCCAAGTGCATGATTTGTATGTGCTCCTGGACCACAGCGCATTGAGCCAGGTTGCAGCAGCCCCAGTTGGCAGGGGGTCAGCTTCACAGCCTGGGGCTGCTCTGACTGATCTCAGTGTGCTGTGGATAGGCTGGCTGGAGCACAAGGGTGCTTCCCTGTGGGGCTAGCCAGCAGGTAGCCCCCGCACTGAAGCACCATCATGCCCCAGCCAGCTGGCTTGGCATCTACACGTGTGCTACTGTGCAGAAGAACTCCGCAGCAGGGTAGGACTTGTATTTACTTGCTCCCTACTGTGGAGTTTATTCAGTTTTTGTGTCCTAATAGGGGACTGAAATGTTTCCTGTGCAGTTAACTAGTCAGCTGCACAGTAAACATTTCATGTAAGCACACACAGTTTTCCCAGAACAGCATAGTGTCCTTGAGGATGCTTGTTTTGAGCACAGTAAATTGATCACATGGACATCATCTCCTTATGACACTAAAATTCTCATGAATTGGTTGCTACATGAGAGTGACAGTACTAGTTAAAAACATACTCCCAGAATAATCATTTATTATGCATTAATCAGTATGTTGATGTTCCAATCTTCAATTCATGCTGCGTGTAAAGAAAATAGTATAATGCAGGGCAATAAAACAATTTTGTGGTATGGATTAATCTCAGGCCTTCACTGTAGCCTGTACATGAGCACTCCATAGGACTTCACATGAGTACAAAAACAGAAAATGAAAGTATTTATAATCAAGACTATTTATCATTTTTTGCCTGTACCCAATAGGAAATAGACCTTCCACAGTCCAAACATGAGCTGAACCATATTTCTTCATATCCTATGATTCTTCATATGCATTTACACAGTAGTATGGTAACTTCCACGCACCAGGCACATCTACACAAAATGCCATATCGCCACAGCAACAAGCTTTGGTGACACAGTTTGTCACTACGGCAATGTAGCATCAGTGGGCACCAACTCTGACACCCCCACTACTGTGCAGTAGCAATAGGGTTAGAAACAACTCATGCACCACTAGGATTGCACAGTACTGGCTTTACTGTGCAGTCATTTAGTACTTACTAGAGCAAGTACTAAATGACTGTGCAGTACCAACTGCACAGTGGGTTGCACGCGTAAACATGTCCACTCACATATAATATGTTGCATACTTTTTTTCTATTGTGTTCAGTGGTGAAAGTAGGGTGGAGTAAATGGGGCAACTACCCCAAGCACTGACTTCAGAGGGTGAAAAAAAGTAGCTGCTCCTGTCCTCTGCACAACTGTGATTGTTGCAGCAACCAGAAGTCACTGCTGACCCTGCATCCTAGGTGCCCACCTTCATTTCTACACCATTGGTTATATTGAAATATATTTAGGCTGTGTATCCTTTGAGGTTGTTTGTTCAGTAAAGCAAAAAACAAACATTTAGGGTTTGTCTGTTTTTGTTTTTTCTTAATGTATGCCCCAGTATTCTTCCAAAGAAAGGGGATTGTATTCCGTTCTTAAGTATTAAAACATGGTAAATTTTCATTTGACCTGAAATACTATGCCACAGCACATTTGTCGTATCTTCCTTCTAAGCATATCCTTGCTTTAACACCACACCTGAGAATGGAATATGAATTCCTTTTTATTTGGAAGGAAACCCATAACAGTTTTCCAGTTTCTGAAAATAAATGAGTCAATAACATATTTGCTTATGTGGTTTTAATAAGGAAATTAAGACTGAGCCCCTGTTGTGCTCCAACTCCATAGCCTAGACAGCAGTGCATTCACCAGTGAGGCAGGAATCCTAGCAGAGGAATCCCTGTTCTAAGAACTGATGTATGCATTAATCCAATGACTATTTCTTGGAAAATGTGTAAGAAGTCCTGGGAGTAAGGACTAGAACTCAACTCCCTTCTCCTTATGAGTGCCCTAATAATTGGACTAGTGAGCACAAGAAGCATGAGTCCCTCTGTCTGGTCCCATGAATCCTGTGATTCTTCCTGCAAGTTTGTGCAGCTTGAACAGGAGGCCTAGAGAGTGCCTCTAACCAAGCTTAGTAAAGCACAGAACGGTAGCTTTCTTTAGTGCTTAGAGAAGTCTGCTAGGAAAGCGGGGAGTGAAGGTTTGAAACACCCTCAGGATAAGGTAATTTGACTTATTTTTCTTTTTTCTTGGGTGAATGCACTAACCTCCTATATAAAATGCATTCAAAATGTATAACGGTACGAGCCACCTTTTTGGATGAAGATGGCCGTACCTACTTTGTTTTGTGTGGAAGTAAATGCTGCCAGGAGCATTGCCTACCAAATTAGGCTATGCAGGTACCCAGCTGGAGGGACATCTACTGTGTAGATCCCACACAGGCTTAGAAATGATATAAAAGGGCTGACCCACTCATTTCTGGCAGGATGATGGTAACTCTGAGTATGCACAGAAGGAGAACTCTAGGTTTCTAGGCTACTTCACTGGTGACAATTCAGGGGTCAAAGTTTGGGCCTGGATTATGCAGGTTGCAATTTGGGGTTTAGCACTTGAATTATGCCTAACCCTGAATTTAGGTTTCTGAATCTTTGTGTGGGTTTGAGCCAGATTTCCTGCTAGAGGTATGACTAGTATTACTGACTGAAACAGATTTAATAAGGTCCTCATTAACATAACACATTTAGGACATTCAGGTGAAAATTTACATTTTGTTTTTTTTTTTTGTATCACTTTTATTCCAGCTCAGTACTTATGTATTTTGTTTCTCTTATCTTTAGAAATAACATGCACCCCACCAACTATTCTGAATGGAGGGGTAATGGTTCCAAGGAGACTTTACAAGGAGAATGAACGAATACAATTTAACTGTGATACAGGATTTAAGTTCAATGAAAGATCAGATGCAGTATGTACTGAAGATGGATGGAGACCAGCCCCATTATGTATAGGTCAGCTTTTGCTAATTTTATATTGTACATTGTCAGATTTCTGTGTCAGTTATATTTTCAGTGATTAATGCAGCCAATGGAAGGTGGTAAATCTAACCACAAAGAATAGCAGGTGTGTCAGCAAAATGGGAGACTAAATTCAGAAAAGCAATTCTGAAAGCATTAAAGTCATAGCTGACAAACAATTTACTGAGGTCCTGTTTTGATGCTGTAGCAAAAAATGAGTTTGGTTAGGGAAGTGATTTTACCTCTGTATACTGCAGTGTTGTAATAGGTAGTGGGATGCTACAGTTTGGTATTGATGTCTATAAAGTAAGGAAGTAGAGATAGGAGAGTGAAAAGAAAAACATAACATTTTAATATCTATCCATGCTCTGAAGGAAAGACTTCACAGTAGTTGGGATTCATAACTGAATGATTTCGTGTGAGAAGGAAGTAAAACCATTGAGGTTTTCTGGTTTACTCTTCAAGTAGTCATGATTTTACTATCAATCCTCATAAAACTATTTATAAAGAAAGAATGTGTTTATGCTATAATCACAGCAGTCTTGGCATAGCTGAGTTACCTATAAAAGGGTAGAAGTATAGTTATGAAGCTCAGTACAGGTTAACTACATGCATATTTACCTAGCTTCTTAAATAGATTTTTCAGTGAATGCTTTGTCAAGATATCAGCAGACAAGGTTCTTCGGGTAAATCTGTTACCTTTTATTAGACCAACTGAAATAGTTTCAAAAATTCTTCTTTGCAAGTTTTAGTGTACAAATGCTTCTTTAGACAGAGGAAGCATCTGCAGTTGTTTTATGCTCTTCCTGGATGGGATAGAAGCTAGAAGCCAGTATGCAAGCATGCTGGTCAGTAAAAATGCAAATGTGTGGCAGACAATGGGTTAGAACAGGTGGGGGGGGGAAAGGAAATGGTGACCTGGTGATAAAATGTAGCTGGTAAATTGTAGAGAGGTTACATGGGGTATCCAATGTTAGGCAGGTTATAATGTGCCATAAATCCAATGTCTCTATTTAGTCCATGATTTTTTGTATCCAGTAGGTGGATGAAGTAAAGTTCGTAGGCTCATCTACGAAAGGTGTTTTTTTTTTTAATTGCCTTTGTGGGTTAGAACTGAGATATGGGAGAGTATGGTTATGTCATGAGAAATGTGCCCCCATAGGTAATTGGGTATTTTTGTCTTTGATATGTTTTCAGTGTCCATTCATTCTGGTACGCAGTTGTTGTTTGGTTTCTCCTACATATTTTCCATCAGGGCATTTAATGCACTGAACGATATATATTACATTTGTGGAGTTGCAGGTGCAAGCTCCAAGAATGTTGATGGTTGTGTTGTGGGGTGTAGTTACTGGCAGTAGTGGAGATATGTTGCAAGGTTTTATATTTCTTGTCCCGACATGGTCTGGATCTATTCAGTGTGTTTTGGGCCATAGGAAGTTTGCTTCTGGTGATGATGAGGTTGACAAGGTTTGGTGCTTGTTTAACGGGTAGGATGTGTGGTTCTGGGAAGATCTCTTTACGAATTGGGTCTTCTTCTAGTGTAAGTTGCAATTGTTTGAGGATTTTCTGTATAGGTTCCAGGGAGGGATGGTACATCATAACTAATGGTGTGCAATTTATGGGGATTTTCTTTTTGTACTGCAGCAATTCTTTACATGGTATCTGGGTAGCTCTTTCAAAAGTGTGATCTATCTCTTTGTAGGAGTTTTATTGTTGAGTGAAAGCCCTTTTGAGATTTGTGAGGTGACGATCACAAGTGTTTTCCTAGGTCAAAATTCGGTGGTATTGGAGAGCGTGACTGTGTGTTACAGCTTTCTTGGTGTGTTTAGGGTGACTGCTGGTTCTGTGCAGATATGTATGTTTGTCTGTGGGGTTTTTTGTATATGGTAGTTTGTATTTTACCATTCTGGATAGTGATCATAGTGTCTAAAAGGTAATGGTGGTGTTGGAGTAGGCAAGAGAGTTTGATGGAGGGGTGTTGATTATTGAATTACTTATGGAAATCAATCAGATATTACAGATTTTCAATCCAAATGGTGATGTTATTAATATATCTAAAGCATAGCATGGGTTTGATGGTGCAGTTTGTGGCGGGCCAATAGGGTGTGCTCCTGCACTGAACCACCCACCTCACTGCACCCAACCACCTTCCTGGCTCCGAGTGCCTCCCTGGGGGTGTCTCGCATTTGGCCACCCCCCTTCCTGGAGCACGCCTGCTAGCCTGGGGGTAACGCTGTCACCACCCAGGGTCTGGACTGATCCTGCCCTACTAGGAAACACAGGCCTAGTAGCCCTTGAGGGTACTCGACCTACTTCAAGAACCACCCACCTCACTGCACCCAACCACCTTCCTGGCTCCGAGTGCCTCCCTGGGGGTGTCTCGCATTTGGCCACCCCCCTTCCTGGAGCACGCCTGCTAGCCTGGGGGTAACGCTGTCACCACCCAGGGTCTGGACTGATCCTGCCCTACTAGGAAACACAGGCCTAGTAGCCCTTGAGGGTACTCGACCTACTTCAAGAACCTGGGGTGCTTCCCTAAGTCTGAAGCACAAATAGTGGTCTCCCTTAGTCAGCCAAACCAAGGGGACCCCAAGGCGTAATCTAGACCCACTCCCAATAAGTCTCCTATGCTTGGTACAAAGGGGAACTTTATTGGTTAGAAGGAGTAGGTTTAGAATAGGGTACAGGGTAGAGCAATATCAAATAAATCCCATAGAGCAAACTAGCATGGCTGGGTAGCCTTTTACTCACACATCTGAGCTACTGCAAGCTATATACCTAGTTAGATCTTAGGTAGCTTACTCACGAGATTCCTTCTGGAAGCAGGCAGTTCATTTCGTAGATTTCATGGACACTAGGGCTGGAAGGGACCTAGGAGGATCATCGAGTCCAGCACCCCACCCCAGGGGCAGGAAGTCTGCTGGGGTCATAGGATCCCAGCAAGATAAACATCCAAATTTCTCTTGACAGCATTCAAAGTAAGTGCTTGAACCACCTCCAGCAGCAGTCTATTCCAGACCTTGGGGGCTCAGACAGTAAAGAAAATTTTCCTTATGTCCAGCCTGAAACTGTCTTGAAGGAGTTTATGACCATTCGACCTTGTCATCCCTTGGGGTGCTCTAGTGAACAAATGTTCCCCCAGATCCTGGTGAGCACCCCTGATAAACTTATAGGCAGCCATCAGATCATCCCTGAGCCTGCAATTTTCCAGGCTGAAGAGTCCCATGGCTCTCAGCCTTTCATCATAAGGTCTGTTTTCCTGACCTCTGATCATGCATGTGGCTCTTCTCTGGACTCTTCTAAGCTTCTCTACATCCTTTTTGAATTGTGGAGCCCAAAACTGGGTGCAGTACTCCAGCTGCAGCCTCACCAAGGCCAAGTACAATGGGAGAATGACACACTGGGATTTGCTTGAGAAGCATCTATGGATGCAAGTCAGCATTTTGCTTGCTTTACTAGCAGCATCATCACACTGATGGCTCATGTTCATCTTATGGTCAATCATGACCCCCAAGTCCCTTTTGTCCATAGTGTTGGCCAGCTTAGCACTGCTGAGCCTATAAGCATGCTGTGGGTTTTTCTTCCCAAGGTGGAGAACCTTGCATTTTTCAGTGTTAAACACCACCAGGTTCTCGTCCGCCCATTTCCTGAGCTTGTCAAGGTAATCCTGGATCACCCTCCTGTTCTCAGGTGTGGATGCTTTACCCCAGAGTTTGGTGTCATTGGTGAACTTGGCCAGTCTGCTTCTGACTCCAGTGTCCACATCATTAATGAAGATGTTGAATATAGGTCCAAGGACAGAGCCAAGGACATTGATCATGAGTCCAAGAGAGAGAGCAAGTTTCAGATGGTCCAGCTCTTCTCTCTCTGAGTTTTCATCATGGCTACTGCTCCTCCTCATGGGCAATCTTTAACTTATATAGATCTTATGACCTCATTTATCTGGTCCAATTAAGGCCAGCACCTGTTGGCTGCCAGCCAACACTGGTTGCCTGTTAGACTACCAGGGTCTCTAGCCCCCTCCCAGTCATGTTGGCATTGCTTAGAACAATAGGGAGCATATTGCTCTAAGCCCTTCACCCAGGTATGCAATGCCAGTTATGTAGGCAGATAGAGCAGGTTTCCTTCCTCCTTCAGGAATGTATCCAACTCAAGTTACCTAAAGAGATGTGATATCTGCCCTCTGCAGGCACCATGTTAACCAAATTGTTACATAGTAGAGTTTTGTCACATAGACAGAGGTGGCGTTCTGCCACACAGTTCTTGAGGAATTCTTCTTCCAGGTGGCTTATAAAAAGGTTGTCATATTGTGTGGCCATTTTGATGCCCATGGGCTGGAGGAAGTGTTGGTTATTGAAAGTGAAGTTGCTGTGTGTGAGGACGAAACATATACGTTCAGTAACTTCTTTAGGTCCATACTCTAAGTTGTAATCTTGCTCTTGTAGGTATGTAAGGCAGGCTTGGATGCCATCCAGGTGTGGGATGTTGGTATATAAGCTGGTATGATGATGGGCAATCGCTTACGAACAAGTAAGATTGTCTTCCAAGGATCTTAATAGTGAGATTGCAGGTGGCTCCATAGCCCAATTCTAGATCCACATGTCTTGTCACAGTGAGAACAGGTGTTTCCAGGAGTGATGGGCACTGTGTTGCTACATTGGATGTTTTGATGTTCTTTTCACTTGTTCTTCTTTCCCTCTTGTGTCTGTTGACAAGCTGTTTCAAAGTATTGAGGTCCCTCCCAAAGAAGCTTCCTCCATTTTGGTCAATCCTGAGTGAGGGTCTCCCAAGTGTTGATGTCGATGTTACGCCTCTTCATATTTGCCTTCAAGGTGTCTTTGAAGTACTTTCTTTGCCCTCCGGTACTTTGCTGACCTTCTTTCAACTATGAGAAAAAAGATTCTCTTTGGAAGGCGGGGGCAACATGACCTGTCCAGCAAAATTGGTTTTGGATGATCATGGCCTCAATGCTGTTGGAATTTACTTTGGCTGAG